GAATGTGGCAAGGACTTTTGTACTCGCTCAGGACGTTCTAGACACCAAAGAATTCATACTGGAGAGAAACCCCACAAGTGTGAAGAATGTGGAAAAGTCTTTTCTACTCATTCATACCTTACTCAGCACAAGGTAGTCCACTCTGGAGAGAAACCTTACAAGTGTGAGGAGTGTGGCAAAAAGTTTTACTATCCTTCTCGCCTTAAGGAGCATCAAAGAATTCATTCTCAAGAGAATCCCTACAAGTGTGAAATATGTGGCAATGTCTTTTGTACCCCCAAAGGACTTTCTAAACATCAGAGATTTCATACTGGAGAAAAACCCTACAAGTGTGAAGAATGCGGAAAAATGTTTTACTATCCTTCTCGCCTTAAGGAACATCAAAGAATTCATTCTCAAGAGAATCCTTACAAGTGTGAAATATGTGGCAAAGCCTTTTATACTCTCTCATATCTTACTCAGCACAAATTAGGTCACACTGGGGAGAAACCTTACAAATGTGAGGAATGTGGTAAAACCTTTTACTATCCTTCAGTCCTTAAAGAACACCAAGCAATTCATTCTGGAAAGAAACCATACAGGTGTGATGAATGTGGCAAGGACTTTTGTACTCGCTCAGGACGTTCTAGACACCAGAGAATTCATACTGGAGAGAAACCTTACAAGTGTGAGCAGTGTGGAAAGGCCTTTTCTACTCATTCATATCTATCTCAGCACAAGGTGGTTCATTCTGGAGAGAAACCCTACAAGTGTGAGGAGTGTGGCAAAAAGTTTTACTATCCTTCTCGCCTTAAGGAGCATCAACGAATTCATTCTCAAGAGAATCCCTACAAGTGTGAAGTGTGTGGCAAAGTCTTTAATACTCACTTAGAACTTACTACCCACTTGAGTACTCATTCAGGATAAAACCCTGCAATTGGGAAGGATATGAAAAGGCTTTTTAACTCATCCATTCTTACCTCAGAATAAATTCCTGAACAGAAATCTTAACCCCTGTGAAGAATGTGGAAAAATGTTTCCTGTCCTCTAGACCTTAAGCATCTGGGGGGAAATCACACAAGTGTGAGGACTGTGGCAAGGCTTATAGTACTCGCTTTTGACTATCTAAACATCAAAAGAATCATACTGTCGAGAAAGACCACAAATGTGGGAAAGTTTCTACTAAACTTTTTAACCTTACTCAACACAAGATAGTTTGTTCTGTTTAGAAACGCTATACATGGGGAAATGCTGGAAAAACTTTTTACTCTTCAATCTTAAAAAAAAAAAAAAACAAAAAAAAAAACAGAGTTCATTCTTAAGAGAGACCCTACTAGTGTGAGGGAGGTGCTTTTGCTTATCACTCAGACTATATCCAACTCAGATGAATCCATAGTAGAAAGAAACCAAACTCTTGTGAAGCATGGCAAGTGCTTCGCTAATCACTATCTAACCACCTTAAAATGTGTACTGGGAAGAAACACTACAAATGTGAACAAATTGACAAGGCTTTTAAAACAAAAGCATTGGTACTGAAGAGCAACCTTACAATGGCAAAGCATATTATCAAGGTTTCACTTACGATTCAGCACTGCAGAATGTCAGAGAATTCACACTTGAGAGAATCTCTACAAATGTGCAAAATATACCCAGGTGTTTATCTGTAATTCATCACTGCATAAGCATGAGAGAATTAGTACTTCAGAAATGCAAGGTATGTGGCAAGAATATACCTGTTTTTCTTACTTTACTTATCCCCAGAAACTTCATACTAGAGAGAAACTACTCATACAAATAATTTGTCAGACCCTTTAATAATTTAAATCTCAGTCAACACCAAAGAATTCCACAAGCTTTACTGTTCAACTTCACATCTCTTTGCATTTTCTAATGAAGCCTCAGCTGTGTGGTTGCCTAGATTGGACTGGCTTACAAATGTGTTGATGGAACATTTTCTTAGATGCAAATTAATGCCCAGTCCAACCCCTGGGCAGGTGGTCCTGAGTGAATGAAAATTCTGTCCAAGCATAAATCTGAGGGATCAAGCCAGTAAGCAGAACTCTTCAATAGTTTCTACTTAATGTTTCTGCCTCAGGATTTCTTCCTTGAGCTCTTGTCCTGGCTGAACTGGCTGACTAACTGTAATTCCTGAACTGAAATAAACCCGTTCCTGTCCTACGTTGTTTTTTGGTTAAGGCATTTATGAAAACAACAGAAATCAAAGTTGGATAGCAAAGGATATGTGAAGGCTTTTCACTTTTATGTATACCTTAGTTATCAGAGTTATAATGATAACTGACATTTATACTGGAGAGAATGTCACAATGTCTTTTTAAATGGAGAATCCTACCCCTAGTTTCAGCTAAGAACATCTGAGTCCTATAGCAGAGACTTTGCTAATGCTGTAATCTACCAACCTATTCTTTCAGACAATGTTTTCAAGGTGCATTGATTATTCTTTATAACTTTCCTCAAACTGTTACCATGCTGTCAGACTGTACTTGGGTAATCTGAATCTGGATTCCTGAGCCATCATCTGTATGGCAGATTTTCCCCTTGGGTCCTCCAATTGTAAGTAACCCTTCCCTTTGGTCTGTAAGAAAACCCAAATAAATTCACTTTTCTCACTAACTTGGGCTGCGGTGAAATGCTAGGATGGTGTGTTGTGGGGTCCCTTTGTAGTGACTAGGCATTTACTTGTGTTTAGAGATAACTAACGTAACACGTGTCATTCATGTTTGGCTCCAAAATAAACAATGTCTGGTTCCCTTTCAATGAGAACTGTGGTTTTTGACTAATGACACAACCCCTGTTTTCATGGAAACAACCACATTGAAATAGGAACACAAGCCATACACACTTATTTACTAGGTAGATGGATTTGTTTACTGCATATGTTATCAAGTATTAATCATTGTAATTGCAGTTCGTACTTGATTATTTGTGTGTGTGTGTGTGTATCCAAAAAGGCCTATTAAAAATTTGAGTTTACTTAAAAGAGACAATGTTGAAACTTTCATATCAACATGATTTACATTTGTTCCTTTAATCTTGTTTTTTTTTTTTCCTTTTTTTGTTTGAGCTAATGTCAGCTTTTATGGAAAAAACTAGATAAGCTCCATCTTTGCCACTTAATTCTGATCACAGGTGGCATTTTTTATCTGGCCTCATTAAAAGTTGTTTTCTCATAATTGTCATAGGAAACAAAGTTATATTCTGTTTTACAAGAGGATTTTGACAGGCTGACTCCCTAAGTTGCAGTAATAAAATTAGAAAAAAAAAAAAAAAAAAAAAACAAAAAAAAAAAACAAACACTAGAACTTTTTGAAAGGAGGAAACCCTGAGAAGCATTGAGGGTTTTTGTAAAGTGTATTAACCACAGCACATAAACTAGAAGGGGATATAAAAGAGCTTAGGATTTATCCTTACTAAGACATCAATTAAAAAGTTCTTTATTGGCATCTGGAGAAATAATAAACATTACCAAATAACTCAAAGAGGATATGAATAAATACCAGGATGAAGAGCACAGAAACAAACAGTTGAATGAAATAATGAAAGCAATTCAAGACATGAAAACAGTTTCTTAAAGGGAATAGGATCAATGAAAAGCAAAAATAGGATAAAAGTTGAAACATAAAATTAAGGAACTCAAACAAAAAATTCAGAGAAAAGCTTCCCCACAAAAAATTATTGAGGTGGAAAAAAAACCAGGTCTCAAGGCCAAAACAGAGGAATTTGATCACTTAGTCAAGGAAAAGGTCAAATCCAAAAACGTGCATGAATGGACTATATAAAAACTCTAGGAGAGTGTAAAATAACTGAACATATAAATATTGAGTTTACATAAACAATAAGATATATAAAAGTAAAAGAGATCCAGGTCAGAGTCACAGAAAGCATTTTTAACAAGATCATAGAAGAAAACTTTCTTAAACTATGGAGGGAGGTGATTTAAGAGTCACACTGAACAGCTAATAGAGCCAGAGAAGGAAATGTTCACAGTATATAATAGCCAAAACACTCAGTATACAGAACAAAGAAAGGCTTTTGAAATCAGCAAAAGAGAAAGACAAGTCACAGACAAAGCCACAAAGCAGCCCCATTAGAATCACAGCAGATTTCTCTGTAAAGACATAGCAGATAGAAGGAATTTAACCAGTGTTCTAAAAGTTTGAAAGATCACAGATTCCAGTCCCAACTACTATACCCAGCAAAACTGTCACAGGTGAAGAAGGAAAAGTTTTTATAATGAAACATTTAAAGAAATACATCCAGTAAGCCAACACTGCAGAAGATAATGGAAGAAATACTTGGGTCAGAAGATTAAACTTGGCCAAAAATGCACAGAGAATAAGAAATTCCACAATACTGTGTTTAGAGAAAGGTATAGTAGAATACTACATATGCAGCAAACTGACAGGAATTAATAACCATAAATTGTCTAACCATAAATCTTAATATTGGTATCACTTCCACAATAAAGAGACACAGAATATATCATAAAACAGCATTCATCTCTTTGCTGGGCTTGGTCCCCAGCTGTTGATACAGACTGAATGCCTCCTCACCCATATGGACATGGATCTGACATTTCTGCTCTGACCCAGTTTTCCCTTTCTATATCAGCTGGCTCAACAGTAAAGCTTTGCTCTCAGCTGAGCCTCTCCCTTGAACTCAGAGCAACTCCTCCACACTGATTTGAGTTTAATTATCAAGACAGACTGCATTTCTGTCAGCTCATTCTGAAACCTCTTTAAAAGTCTGTTTTAGTCTCTTTAACATGTATTGATTCTTTAAAAGGTATGTATACTTAAATATTGATATACTGAATGTGTTCTGTGGCATGAGTTAAAATTAGAAATTAAGACTAGAATAAAAGAATATTTACCTCAGCCAGATTGCCAAGGTAATTCACATTATGTGGCAAATTGAAGCTTTGAAAATGTTTCACCTTGTGAATTTACTGTTCAATAAATTCTAACGTAGTAGAATGACACGAACGTGTTTCTTGCATGGTTTGCTCATGACAGTACTTGTATTTATGCCTCTGTGCCTCTGTATAATGTCATTCTGATTGTAAAATTTCAGTCCAAGTATCAGAATACTCAAAACCCAATTAGGAACACCAATTAGGAACCTAATTAGCAGGCAACACTTTATCACCCCTGTCCTGAAAATGTTTGGAAGACCACAATGGAAATAAGTCTCACTAGGGTTGAAAGTTTGCAGTGTTAAACTGTCCTAAACCATTCCACATCAGCATCTCCATTCCAGCTATAAAATGAGCTCGTCTGCCCTTTGAGTTCAACAGTCCCATCTTCTGTGTGGCAATAACCAGGTCATTTGTGATAAAGAATAAGAAGCACCAGTAGATAGGTCACATACAAAACTATCAAGTGTTGGGAACACCCTGGGTCATTGAAGATACTGATAGTAGAAGTGGATTTACAGTCCTCTTCAGCTTCCAGAAAAGGAAGATTGGGAGTACAATTGATTCCCTTGTTTCTCCTAAAAACAAGCAAAAATTTTAAATGCTATTGTTGGGATGACCTTCCCTCACATTGCCAAGATGTGTCCCTGTGTTTTTAGTTGTTCATTCTGTGCCTGCAGAGAGCCAGATGCTGGCAGGATTTTGACAATGTAATTTCTATGGCATATTACCAGTTTTCTATTCATAAATGCTTGTTCTTTCTCACCTGCAACCCATAAGAGATGGATCAGGTGTTGTCTTGGTGTTGGTTGGCTCAAACTAGAATATGGCTTTTTGTGTAATAGAAGCTCTCAGCCCAGAGCTAGGACAGGACTACAGGGGTAGGACTCTGAGCAGACAGATTCGGAAAGAGGCAGAAGGGGGAGATGTATCGAGATGGAGGCAGGGATTGAAAGCCTCATGGAGAGACAATATGGCGCAGAAGTCAGGAGAAGTTTAGATAGGTAGCTGAGAGACTACCCCAGCAAGAGGTCAATGGCTTTATACTATATAGATGTCTTTGTGACTTAATTAAACTGCAAGAGGCATTCTCAAAAGCCTCGCAATATGCTGTCATTGACATCATGGCTTTAGAAGAATTATGCTTCCTTAAATGGCCTTGCAAAGAGCTACTCAACTCTTTCCCTTGACCTGACCCATGTCATGTTATTTCCCATCTACCTCAAATAGCATCAGGCTTATTGGCAACCAGGGTTTTCTTATCCAAGTTTCACATCTGTCTCCTTTAGTCTCTGCCTAGAGCACTACCATCTGCTGAGAAGTCCCACATTACAGTTTTCACTTTCTCAGTCAATGCTCAGCATAAATGCTGCCTTCTGAAAATAGAGCAGTCTGAATAGTCAAGCACAGGGATCTCTAGCACTCATGCTGTCTCCCCCTTCTATTTCCATCCACTGCATCTGGAGGTGATCATGTAACTGGATATACATTGTACTTACTAGATAGTGTGTTTCCTGCCTATCAGTGTTATTCCCAAATCAACACCAAAAACCACCAAGGAGCTGATTCCAATGCAAACGCAGTAGGGTCTTTATTACAAGCCCGAGCTCAGGCCCACAGCATTAACTGAGTATAGAGCCCTGAGCTCAGACAGAGGGGTTTTTATTGAGGGTTACAGCAAGGTTCAGGAAATTCCAGCTTACCAGTTACAGGATTGGGTAACATTCAGCAAGGGCAAACTTGTTACAAAGTGATTGGCTAACATAACACTGAGGGAACTATCTAAAGATCTCAGGAATGTTAGGTATTTCTGTGCCATGAACTACTACAAGTTCTGTGGGCTGCTCAGCACAGATGCCCACCCCATTCTTCTGGTTACCTCCAGGCTATTCCTTGGGCAGGGAATTTTATTGTCTGTTTCCTGGGGCTGGTGACTTTGGGAGGGGGGGAGGGTCAGGCTGGTCCTCTCACATGTGAACATTGGAATCCACCCTCATTCATGACTTACTTTTATGTAGCTGCCACAAAGAAAAGAACAATGGGGTGCAGAATTTAAAGCATTGGCCAACCAACCCGACACACTTTTCAACTCAAAATATGTGACTTGATTTGAAAATCATTTTGGCTGGACTCAGTGACAGAAAGTTTTATAACCCCAAAAGACAAAGTAATGAAAATCTGTGATGCTCAAACCTATGTGTTTGGTTTCTATTCAGTTTTGTTCAAATGATGTCTAGAATTTCTTTCAGTAGTCTCTGACATACTCATACAGATGACCAGGAACTGAGTGACATTATCCAGCATACTTCCCCTCAGAGTTTTCCAAGAAATGGCCTATGTAACACAGCAAGGTTAGTACACGACTGTGAAAACCAGTAACTCTCCCTCATATCCTCACTTACACAAACATTAGCATGCAAGGAAAAGCTCCTAGAAGGAACAGGCAGGACACCATAGGGTACTACACTACTCACCATGGAAGAGGAAGGAATGGCACTTTGTTTTGCTGTTTGGATGACACAGTACCACCTGAAAATGACAGTGGAGGCCATGGCTGTCATTACCCACATGCAGAGTAGGGGTCCTGCTTTGGCTAACTGTAGAGAAGCATTCCACACCCAGGTTAAGCTGTAGTGTAAGGAAGGAGAGGGCCCCAACAGGCAGAGAAGCAGGGAGGGGGTGTAACTCAGCTGTGGACTGCATCAGTCAAGAAGAATCCCGGAGTGGGAATGAGGGCTGTTTAAGTCACATGACTACACACAGGCCTGCTGACCTGACACAGAAACCTGGCAGCCTAAAACAAGGTGAGGTGTTTGTTCTGTTTTGTTTTCCTGCTCCCGGG